TTTTGTTAATATACAATTTGTCCATTTTCCTGTATATCCATTTGAGATTGTTACAGATAGGAATATTGCAGCCCTCAGTGATCCACTATCCAAGCTTTAAAACTGTTTGGAGAATGTGTAGTTAACCTAATGGTTTCACACACATAGACATGTTGATATCTTTTCCCTAATAACATAGATTTGCTTCATTTTGTTCATAAGTTACAGAAGCTATATTTTCAATTTAGTGGGCCCTTCTGTGTCATAGCAAGGGATTAATTTGGGGGATAATTAATAAAAACTAGGGAACAAGTTAGCCTAAGAATATTTAGGCTTTGGTAATTACCCTGTCACACAATTTGACTCTTAAGTACATAATAAAGATTTTTTTTAAAATCAGGTCTCCCTTGGGGGTGGGGAAGAAGATAAATTGGCAAATATGAAATTGCTTCAAAATAAACTTATTTTATTTTATTTTGGGGACAGTCTGTGCCCTGGGTAGAGTGCCCTGATGTCATAGCTCTCAGTAACATCAAACTCAAGCTCAGGTGATCCTCTTGCCTCAGCCCCCTAAGGAGCTGGGATGACAGGTGCCCACCATAACCCTTGACTAGTTTTCTATTTTTAGTAGACATAGGGGTCTCCATCTCCTAAACTCAAGGAATCTGCCCCCTCAGCCTCCCAGAGCACTACAATTACAGGCGTGAGCTACTGGGCTGGCTTCAAAATATACTTTTAAAAATGTTTAGAGGAAATTGATTTTAACACTCTGAAAAGCTGAAGGTAACACAGATTTGTTAGTGCTGGTGTCATGTTGGTAGAAAGTTCTCAGCAGAAAGCATTTAAGGATATTTCATGGACTACAGAGAGGATTACATAAATACTTTACAAACTATGGTGATACTAACAGAATCAGGTAAATAGTAGTTTTAAAATGACTTTTAATATGAATTTTACTAAGATAATAGCCATTCTATATTACCTTTTATTAGTCCTTTATTTGTTGAAAGTCTTTGTCCCTTGCTGTAATTTTAACATATAATGGAATCTTTCTGTAAGTACAATTTGGTATTAGTATGACTCACTTTAGATGAGTTTCTAAAGTATCAGAAAATGACCCACAGTAGTCTGATCCTATGGCCTGGCCTCTGGCAACTTGCCATAACACTAACATCAATGTAGGTAGATAATTACATTTTCTGTTGTTTTGAAAAGTAATTTGTAAAACTGCAAGCCTTTTTGAGTGTTTTAATTTAATCCTGTCTTCTCAAATTTACCTAGAGTGAATATTACTAAGAGAAGGCCACCAAAGTAGCTATTTGATATTTCCAGGGCTCAGTTGCAACTGGTAATCTGATAACTCCTGGGAACATCTAAGATGTTAGATCAGCCATAGTCAAATAACAGTGGAAAAAATACTTGATGTTAGCATAGGGCTAAATTACAGTTTGAAGAATAATTAGCATCACTTAAAGGTAGTGAGTTATGTTAAGGACCAGTGGTTACCATTAAATGCAATTATATAGAATGCTAAGGTACTGAAGAAAATAGGCATTTAAATTCTTATCTGGAAGTCTGATTAACATAGTTGTTCCTGTTGTAAGGGCACAAATCTAGACATCTATCAAAATAAGACATAATTGACTGTTTACAGTATTTGAGATGAGTGAAATTTCAAAACAAACTTTAAACTTTTATTGTATAATTTGATATATAATAGAAATGCATTAAACCTTATAGATTAGGAAATATTGGTGCTAAAATAAAGGAAATATTTGTGCTATTTAGGTCTTTAAACTTAATAGGATATTTACTATATCACTCATATCATAGAGACCTCGGTAGAGTGCCATGGCATCACAGGTCACAGCAACCTCCAACTCCTGGACTTAGGCAATTCATGGGCCTCAGCCTCCTGAGTAGTTGAGACTACAGGCACCTGCCACAACACCGGGCTATTTTTTTGTTGCAGTTTGGCCAGGGCCAAGTTCAAACCTATCACTCTCGGTATATGGGGCCAGCGCCCTACCCACTGAGCCACAGGCGCCTCCCATCTTATGTGTACTCTTAAATAGAAATACAAACTGGGTATCTAAAGGATATCTAAAAGATCTGTTTTTATGAAGTTCCAATACAGGGCCCTAAGGCATTCCTAGTTTGCAATGTAGTTTATACAAGTTGTAAGGCATGGTCCCCTGGTTATGAACACTGGGATTAAATTGGGATTTTTTTAAAAAATCCACATCCATACATCACAAGACAATTGCTAAGGGAATATATATGTGTACAGTAAGAAACAGGAATATTCAATTGCTTCTGTGTATTTAATATACAAATAGTTATGAGTAAGTACTTTTGAATTAGTTACAGAAATAGAAATTAGATGAAGAATTTCATTTCTTCAGGAAAAATTATGGATATTCAGAAGAGCCCAGTATTTTTTCTCGACATAGCTCTTTAAATGGAAATATTTTAGGGTATAAATATCTCTGAAATTGAATAGGATGATACTTAATGTTGAAATGTCTTTCCCTTTGAACAAATCATGATGTCATAGGCCCTTTCTTCCATGCATTTCATGGAAGGTTGTGAATTGGAGGTTGAGTAAATAAGCAACCAAAAATAGTTGGTAATTCAAAATTTGGCATTGCCTATTTTTAGGCAGAATTATAACACTATGAAAACCTATCCAATATGACTTTTTCATAGTATTAGCATATATTACATTCAGTTAATATTCTTGGGACTAAAATCTGAGGCTAGCAACTTAGTTATATGTTATATGCTTTTAAATGGTTATATAACCCCTTTGAGGGGTTTGTGTTAATCAGGAAAAAAAAATCTTCCCCTAGTGGGACAATTTGAATTATTAAATATTTAGAAAGTAACTTCATCTCTATAACAATTGTTTTTTTGTTTTTTGTTTTTTTTGAGTCAGAGCCTCAAGCTATCCCCCTGGGCCCTGGGTAGTGCTGTGGCATCACAGCTCACAGCAACCTCCAACTCCTGGGCTCAAGCCAGTCTCCTACCTCAGCCTCCCAAGTAGCTGGGACCACAGGTGCCCACCACAACGCCTGGCTATTTTTGGTTGCAGCCATCATTGTTGTATGGCGGGCCTGGGCTGGATTTGAACCCGCCACCTTGGGTGTACATGGCTGGCGCCTTAGCCACTTGAGCCACAGGCGCCGAGCCACATAATTGTTTTTTGAGAGTTTCACTGTGCTGCACAGGTTGGTCTGGTCTTGACTCCTGTACTCCACTGATTCTCCTGCCTTAGCATTTCAAGTAGCTGGGACTAAAGGCATATTGTTGTGTTTTTTTTTTTTCCAAAGAGAAAAACTATGTTTCCAGTTTTAGTTGTATCTAAAGTCATTTGAATAGAAAACTACTGGTGAAAAATCTACCGTAGGAAATGGGTGGGTCACTTTTTAGAATAAGTATTGTAATGATTTAGAGATATAAAAATAATTTTACCTTTTGTTAGGGTAAATTGTTACCTGGAGAAGTATAAGATTGTCCCTTCAGAGTTATTGAAACTGTTTTTTAAATATTAGTCCCTTTAGCACCTGTGAAATAACTTTTCAGTAGGTAAGTTTTGGGTTCTCAGTAACTCTTATTTTTACCTAAGTTGTGTACATTAGCCTGAGGTTATTCTATGATGAAGTATAGAAGATTTTCAGTTTTCTACTAGCACTTCTCCACATATTATTGGGATAAATTGAAGAGGTTTTCTACCACTAGCATGGTGTCCCTGATAATGATTGTGAGGTGATGGAATTCTATCCAAGAATCCCTGGTTTTTCTTCTGGAACTTCATCTCATCATTTCTCTGTCCTCACCCCAAGTTATGTACACTACTTGATGAAAAGCTCTTAGCATCTGGAATGATTTTACTCCTTTTTAAGAGATTTATTTTATAGTAAACAAGCCTTGTCCACAGCCTCAAACCAGCACTGCCAGTGAACCGGTGAGTTCCACATATATGGACCAAGCTGAACAGCTACTAGAATGGACTCAAATGTGTAGAACATACTGTAACCAGTGACTGTGTGTTACCAAGTAGTGAGACTGGAAGGGGGTGGAAGGGTAGCAGCAGTGGGATGTCTACTGCCATAATTTTAAAGTTTATAGGAATATATAATCACTAACAATTTACTGAGCCTCTCTTATGCCAATTAAGCTGTGAGGATACAAAAGCAAAGTATATTAAGCATGCCCAGCCATGTTGCATCATTTAGCATTGGTCACAATGTTGGTTGGAAGGAAGAAAATATCAAACAATCTAGGTATCAACTCAAGTCGCAAGAAGGAATTACAAGGCACATTATTTGAACGGTGAAAATGTAAAAATGTCAATTGAATACCCATCTACACAAAGCAAGGCTGTTTTGAGCAACACTAATTTCGAGTACTTAAGGCTGGTGATTTATGCACATTATATCTTAAAAATCCTCAGAACCCTTGGTTTGGGTATTTTCAGAAGCAGGATCAGAGTTGCCCTGAGACATTGCCCTAGGTTCCACTCCTAGTCAAGTAGCAGAACTGTTTCAGAAATCTTATCACTGTGCCCATGTTATCTTCCATTAGATTACCTGCTTCCGCACCTGAATATCCCCACCTGTCCCCAATTAACCTATGTCAAACCCGGATTTAAACTTAATAATGGAACAAAGAGATCTTCCCTACAGGATTGAATTTAGTCATTTCAATTAAAAAGGTAAAGTGGCTTACTTCACGTTCAGGGTTAGAATACCGTGAAGAATTAAGCCTTGGCAGCTTTACTTTACAATGAATAAGCCAGTGAATGTTGCAAGAAGGGGAAACCGGGCAACAGCCGGGGCTTTGGGGATCCCGAGAGAAGCCTGGGTTCCCGCCACCGTCAGTGCGGCTGGCGGCTGCCCTGGTGGCTGAGCAGGGTCTTTACCCTGCCCCGTGCCTCCGGCTGCGGTGCGCCGGCGCTGTGGTGCGCGGGCGCAGCGGCGGTGGCCTGGGCGACGCGGGGAGACAGCTGGGGTGAAGCCATGAACCGGGTATCCGACGTTTTCTCTACGAGGGGGGTGTTGGACTGGCCCGAACCTTCCAAGACGTATGTAAGTGCAGCCTTGGTCGCTTCGGCTCCAGGGCCGGGAGAAGGCGGGTCCTGCTGCCCCCGACCCTCCCTGGGGGTCGGGGATGGCTCAGAGGTGGCGCCGGACGCCTTCAGTTCCCGCCGCTGTGCCCCTCTCCCTCCTCCAGAGGCGGGTCGTCGCCTTTGCCCCGGGCCAGAGGTTCCCAAAGGGACATGGGCATATTTACAAAACCAAACTCTAGAGGTGAATTCGGCAGACGGTCAGACTTGAATTCTGGCTCCCCACGCAGATGTTTAGGTATTTATGACGTCCCACTTCACCCAATTAGTTGGCTGCGAAATAAGCCCCATCGCCGGCGAAGCAGTCCCGCCCCGAGCAGCGCCGGGCGATGGAAGGGGCGCGGCGCGGCGCGGCGCGAAGGGACCAGCCGCTGCTTTGCCAACTGCCTCCGACAGCGGCCCCAGGGAGACTGCAGGCTTCTCAGCTGTGCCTGTCTCAGTCTCAGGATTGAGGCCGCCCTGGGCGTCGCCGGCTTACTGCGGCCTGAATTCCCATCAATTTATAGATGGCTATGATGAATTACCTGCCTGACTTTCCCTCCTCCTTTTCTCCCTTCTCTCCTCTTTTCCTTTCTTCCTAACCTCCTCCTCCCTCCCTTTCTACTAAAGCCATACCTAAAAACAATCAAAAAGGATATAATCCTGGCTCCGGGTTAAACACATTAAGATTTGACACCTCTTATTAAATAGAGTTAAAGAACAACTAGTAGAAAATATTGTTAAAGGTTTGTTGTGGCATGTGGATTGTAAATTGAACTTGTAATTATTTTTGCTGTAATATTTCATTTTATAGCAAAATATGGAATTACGATTAGGGATGTGGTACTGGAAAGATGACACCAGAAGTCTTGAATTCAGAAGGTAACTCTTAACAAAACTTTATTAGAGTTTTTAATAAAAATTATATGTGCCTGGGGTAAAAAAATAATAATTCAAGCAATACAGGAAAGTATAAAGAATAAAAAAGAATAAGATAAATATCTACTGAACCCCACCATCTGGAGATAACCATTTTTGTGAACAGCCTCTCAGACATCACTTTCTGTTCACACTTAACAGATGCTTCCTTTGTACCACACACTGCTAACCAGTTTACCATCCCTTTGACTCAGCTGCCTGTTAACCAGTTTACAGATGAAGAAACGCATTTCAAAGCATTAAGTGATTTGCATAAAACATTCACACAGCTTGGGGTGACTAAGAATGATTTAAGTGTAGGTCTGTTTGACTCAGAATCCATATTTATAACTGCTATATACATTTGTTTATTTGAGTTATAAAAATACAGTTTTACATTACTGAACCATATCACACTCTCTGCAATAGATGGTAAATCATAAGGTAAAATTTCTAGATGAGAAAAAACTAATTTTAATCTCCATTAAGAAAACACTGACTCTGTCAAGAAAGTGTATCACAGCTGGGCACCGTAGCTCATGCCTGTAATCCTAACACTCTGGGAGGCCGAAAAGTGGGTGGATATCTAGAGCTCATGAATTCAAGACCAGCTTGAGCAACAGTGAGACCCTGTCTCTATGAAAAATGAAAACTCAGGCAAGGGCAGTGCCTGTGGCTCGTGGGTAGGGTGCTGGCCCCACATACCCACCCCCCAGCCAGCTAAAACAGCAGTGGCAACTGAAACAAAAAATAGCTGGGCGTTGTGGCAGGTGCCTGAGGCAAGAGAATTGCTTAAGCCTAAGAGTTGGAGGTTGCTGTGAGCTATGACACCACAGCACTCTACTGAGGGTGACACAGTAAGACTCTGTCTCGAAAAAAAAAAAAAAAAACTGAGGCAAGAGGATTGCTTGAGCCCAAGAGTTTGAAATTGCTATGAGTTATGATGCCACAGTACTCTACCAAGGATGACAAACTGAAACTCTGTCCCCTCCCCCCCAAAAAAGAAAATGGTAAGAGAGTGTATTGGTAAGCTAATCATACCCAGTATCTATTGTGCTCATGTGATATGCCAGACTTTTGCATGTTTTCCTAATTCTTATACCAGCTATAGATAGTGAGCATTGATATCCTCATTTTATATATGAAGAAACAAAGCTCAGGAGATCAAACCACTGCCCCAAAGTCATGCAGCCAGTAAGAAGCAGAACTGACAGTTTGAACCAAGATTTATCTGATGCCAAAGTCCTTTCCATTGTACACACTGTCTGCCTTGAGTAGACTAAGCCACTCAATGGCAGGAACTATCTTACTTATCTTCATGTCCCTGTAGCCATTTACAGAACTTCACAAAGTAGGTGCTCAACAAATGTTTATTGAGCTGTTCAATAACCCATCTAGATTCACGCTGAGGAAAATTAGAGGCACTGAACTAACCAGGAGCCTAGTGGTAGGAGGCTCACAGGTAGTTATACAAGTAAGAAAGTCAGAATTAACTCCATGTTGGTAAAACTAGAAGGGTGAAGGACTAAGAAAAATTTAAGAGCTGGAATTGACAGGATGTTTGGATAAAATTGATAGGGTGTAATCCTAACACTCTGGGAGGCCGAGTGATAAAATTGAGAGGGGTGGGGTCTGGATGTGAAAGAAGAAGGGAGAGGCAGTGTGTAGGTTGATACCTGGTGTCAAGCTTGGGTGATTGTGTGGCTGAGATTGCCCTGTATATAGAATAAAAGAGAAAAACCCAGCAATGTGTTTGAGGTTGCTATGACTATTCACCTGGATACGTCTCTCAGGCTGTTGGACAAATGGTGCTGGAGGTCAGGAAAGGAGGTGGCTAAGCAGAGTGTGGAAGGGGTAAAATGTAAAATGCTTACCTTTTTCAACATGGACAATTTGAGGTACCTGCCTATATGACCTCTAGGTCAAGAATCCAGTAAGCAGGAGTTTGTCCCTCAGGAGAATGGCAAGTGCAGAATTATAGTGGGAAGTTAAATGATTGAGACCAGAACATTAGGAACTATGTACCTTTAAAAATTATGAAGTTGAGATGGGCGTGAGGGCTCACCCCTTTGCATTTGAGTGACAGGTTCTAGAGAAAAAACATGAGTTTTTTCCTTGTTTACATCAGAGAAAAGAGGATGGCGTGATTATGTTGTGGTATTAGGAAAGCACATCCACCAATTGCTGTGAGAGGACTCATTTCTAAATGGGTGGCTAGACTGACAGGGACAGTAGGAGGGTACAGACTAGCCCACACTGTGGTTCAGCCACCAATCAGAGGTACAATTCAAAGTACAATTTTCCATTATTACTAAGTGCCTGTCGTTCCTTCATGATTCCAAATGCGTTGTGAGCATAGGATGCCTTTAGCACTATCGCAGGGCACTCACAAAGTGGAGTCTGTATCACCAGTTGAACTGGAGAATAACTCAGTCATGTGAGAGCCGTGTGAGAAGGCACATCCAGAGGATCAGCATAAGGACTAGGAGTTTAGTGGTATATGCACTGCCACCACCAATTTCAACCACTGGGACACAGGTCAGTCTCTCCATTAGCCCTACGTCTCCATCAGTGAGGTGATAACTTTATACTAGATCTTTTCCATGTCCTCCAACCCCAAACCTAGGATTTTATGATTTTATAATCTCAAGTTAATTTAACTTACTTCAATCTTATCTGTAAGATAGTCCCTAATGTATCCTTGCAAATTTCTTGTTTTAAGGCTTTCTTATCTTAAAACATCTCAGGCAAACTAGCATAATAAGAAACTTTGTATTACATGAATGGGACTGAGAAAAGGGTGGAAGGCATATTTAATTTCACATTAACTTAGATTGGGTGTTTTTATCTTCTCTTGTCTTCTGGAGAAGAGAAACCCTGGGGACAGCTGGGAAGACCTGAGACTCCTATAGCCTGGCAGGAAAATAATGGCCAATGGCTTATAAGTGACCAGATACTCTGATAGTCCAAGGAAAAACCTGAAAACAACTTTGTGTTCTTGTTTAGTATGGTTATATTGAGGATAAGAGGTATATTAGACATTCTGCAAGCAGAATGGGCTTCAAAGAGCCATGGAAAACATCTGAAAGTTCGGGGAGATTTGAATGTTTTCTTAAAAGCTATCTAAGTGGTCCATCAATAGAAGGTACCACCAGGATTACATAGTGTTTGTAATCCTAGCACTTTGGAAAACTGAGGTGCGAGAATTGCTTGAGGCCAGGAGTTTGAGACCAGCCTGAGCAATATAGTAAGACTCTTGCCCCTACAATTATTTTTTTTAATTAGCCAAGTATGGTGGCACATGACTGTAGTCCTAGCTACTTGGGAGGCTGAGGCAGAATTATTACTTGACCCAGGAATTTCAGGTTGTTGTGAGCTAAGCTGATGCCACTATATTCTAGCCTAGGTGATAGAGTGAGACCCTTTCTCAAAAAAAAAAAAAAAAAAAGAGAGAGGCCTTCCTGGAGATGGAGGTGATTGAGGCCTTTAGCAGAGTCCACAGAAGTGAATACTGAGATAGCTGCTTGGGAGCTGGGACTGCCTGGTGGCTGAGCACATGGCTCTGTGGCTGGAGAACCTGGGTACCAGCACTGGTTTGCCAGTGGTTATCCGATCTTCATCAAGTTATTTAATCACTTTTTAAGCTTCCATTTTCCCCATGTATAATAGAGTTGCTATGAGGATTAAATGAGGTTGTGTCTAAGAGCCCTATTCATAGTAAGTACTCAAAAAAGGTAAAAATCCTTTCAAACTTACATGATCTTTCTGTTTCTTGTGAAGTTACTGTAAGATGTTCAGATAGAAATATTTTGTGTACACAAAACTGCTGATGGTTAGAGGCTGAATGTAAACTCTGAAGTTTTTGTTTTGTTTTTTCAGACAGAACTTCAAGCTATCCCCCTGGGCCCTGGGTGGTGCTGTGGCATCACAGCTCACAGCAACCTCCAACTCCTGGGCTCAAGCGAGTCTCCTGCCTCAGCCTCCCAAGTAGCTGGGACCACAGGCACCCGCCACAATGCCTGGCTAGTTTTTGGTTGCAGCTGTCATTGTTGTTTGGCGGGCTGGGCTGGATTCAAACCCGCCAGCTTAGGTGTATGTGGCTGGCACCTTAGCCACTTGAGCCACAGGTGTCGAGCCAACTCTGAAGTTTTGATCTTCCTCTAGAGTGGTGATTTTCAACAGGTACACCATAGCACATGTGTGCTGCAAAAATTTTTAAAGATCATTATAAATTATTTTCGAAAGAAGTTCAAAGCACAGTAAGAATATTCTTTGCTTTACTCTTTTTTTGATCAACATAATTTAAGTGCACCACAGATGTTCAAGTGTGCTATGAGATAAAAAAGGTTGAAAAACACTGTTCTAGATACTTGTTCCATATGTAAATATAGAATTGAACACTGCCTCAAATACTCTTCAGTAAATATATGCTAGGCCAGGTGCAGTGGCTCATGCCTGTAATTCTAGCACTGTGGGAGGCTGAGGAAGGTGGATTGCTTGAGCTCACAGGTTTGTGACCAGCCTGAGCAAGAGCAAGACCCTGTCTCTACTAAAAATAGAAAAACTGAAGCAAAAGGATCTCTCTCTTTTTTTTTTTTTTTTGCAGTTTTCGGCTAGAGCTAGGTTTGAACCCACCACCTCCAGTATATAGGGCCAGCACCCTACTCCTTGACTCACAGGTGCCACCCACAAGAGGATCTCTTAAACCCAAGTTGGAGGTTGCTGTAAGCTGTGACACCATAGCACTCTACCATGCAACAAAGTGAGAGTCTGTCTCAAAAAAAAAAACCCTATAAATAAACAAATAAATACATGCCAGTCTTAAGCGTACACGAGCTATGGTCATGAGAAGATTTGTTTTCTACTGGGAAAAGGTTAAATTCCTCATTATCTTGTTTCTATTGCAGTTTTACACCTACCATGGAACTCAAGGAAAAAGGAAAGAGAGGCAAAGCAGTTCACTTTGCTGAAATCGACGGTCCCGCTTCAGACAGGTAGCCTAACTTCTCAACCATGCCAGTGCTGCTGACAGCACCTCTCAGTGGAGTGACTTTTAAATCTTTACAAACCCTAAGAAAGTACATCCCTGTTATTCTAGGTGGAAATGGAAATACCCATCAAAGAAATAATTATGTAATTATTAAGTACTATTCCAGAATTATGGCAGGAGTTACAACAGTCCCTGTAAATGTATCCCTGTGATAACTAGGCTATTCGCACTTTTTTTTTTTAATTGAGACAGAGTCTTACTTTGTCACCTTTGGTAGAGTGCCGTAGTGTCACAGTTCACAGGAACCTCAAACTCTTAGGCTTAAGTGATTCTCTTGCCTCAGCCTCCCAAGTAGCTGGGACTACAGGCACCTGCAGAAACGCCTGGCTATATTTTTGTTGTAGTTGTCATTGTTGTTTAGCAAGCCTGGGCCGGTTCAAACCTGTCAACCTCTGTGTAAGTGGCTGACGCCCTAACCACTGAGATATGGGCTCCACCCTAAGGGACCTATTTTCTTTCTTTTTTAGACAGAACCTCAAGCTGTCCCCCTGGGTAGAGTGCTACGGCATCACAGCTCACAGCAACCTCCAACTCCTGGGCTTAAGCGATTCTCTTGCCTCAGCCTCCTAAGTAGCTGGGGCTACAGGCACTTGCCACAATGCCTGGCTAGTTTTTGGTTGTAGTTGTCATTGTTGTTTGGCAGGCTGGGGCTGGATTTGAACCCACCAGCTCTGGGGTATGTGACTGGCGCCCTAGCCTCTTGAGCTACAGGTGCGGAACCAAGGGACCTATTTTGGATGGAATTCATATTTGCATTTTAGAGCAGGCAGTGTGCATTCCTTCTTCCTAAGCAAAATATGACATTTAATAAAATGCATTCCAAAATGATCTTATGTTAAACAAAACCCATGCATGGGACTTGGGCTCTCATTATCTATAGTAAATACTTCATGCACCACAGGATAGATTAAATACAGCTCAACCCTTTAAAAACACTACTAGAAGAAATTATTATATTCCAAAACAGGCTGACAGATAAAAGAGCTGCAAGAGACGATAAGTCAACTAAGGCTTTAGAGAAACGAGGTCTGCTTGGCAATGTTACGCTAGATGATGCTAAATGTGAGTAACTAACCGTTTCCTTGTCCACACCCGAGTTACCTTGGGTACCCCCTAAGGCAGTGTTTTTTTTTTTTTTTAATCTTACAGCACACTTGAACCTACAGTTAAACTTCCATGGCACACTTAAATTATGTTGATCAAAAAAGAGAGTTAAAAAGATTATCTTTACTGTGCTTTGAACTTCTTTTGAAAGTAATTTAATTAATGCTCTTTAAAAATTTTCAGAGCACACCTAAGATCTTCTCCTGGCACTCCAGCAGGCCACAGCACACCTGTTGAAAATCACAGCTCTAAGTTGCTCTTTCACTTGTCCATCTTTCTCTCTTTTCAGTTGTTGCTTTGCTTTTGCTGCAAGATACTGAGATGCAGCGGGTCTGTTCTTTTACAACATTTATGAGGTATGTAAGGCTTGTGGGACGTTTAAGATCTTTTATCCTTTATTTTGTGGCCATTCCATCGATAAGTGATGACAAATGTGATTTTTAGAGGAAGAGTGTGAGGCTGCCTCTGTGTAGCCCTTCCTGTCAGGACTCAGTCTCAAAGACCAGAGTCTGCCAGAGGAAGCCAGCAGTCACAGGAGCCCCAGGCAGGAACACAGAAGGCGTATGTCACAGTCCCATTTGTACTGCACTGTATCATGGAACAGTTAAAGGATATACCCACCCAGTGAAGAGCAGCTTTCTCCTCTAGTCCTGTTTGGCAGCCCCAACATAACTAGGTGTGTTGACTCTGTGTGAGTTTCTTGACTTTTCTAAGCCTCGCTTTGTTCCGATACAAAATTGGGAGATAATCATGTGTCCTTTGTATGGCTGTGCCTGGCTGTGCTTCACAGGGATCTGCACTGTGAGTGCTCAGTGACAGTGGGGTGCTGGATGCCAGTGGCACCCCTCCCCAAACCCCTCAGCATTCACATGCAGGCTGCTTAGGGCAAACATCTGAGAATCTTGGCCTGAAGGCCTTATTTCTCCTTGGGGCACACTCAGCCTGATCACAGGGCAAGCCCTGGGGCTCTAGTGCCCATAAAGGCAGCCTCAGTCAGTGCTGGGGGGAGGAGGACAGTCTCCCATCCCGCGGACTGGACTACATTGACTTGTTAACACTCCTTTGGGTGGCTCTTTCCCCCTTTCCTGTCTCTTCTCCCTGCTTTCCTGCTTATGCTTCCTGAGGCCACTTCCTAAAATAACTACTTACTCTCAAATCTTTATCTCAGGGTCTGTTTCTGGGGAACCCAACCTGAGACTGGTGGTTATTAATATCTTGGGGGGAAAAGTCTGTAATGGTTATCTTCATTCTGCTCTAAAGGTATAAAGAAAGAATGGCAGAGTAAGAATTTCCATTTGGGGCTACAGTGAAGGCAGCCAAAGTCTTGTAGGAGTATTTAGAAAGAAAACATGACTTAATTAAAAACAAATGAGATAGCATTGTACATCAGCAGTCTTTCTTAAGAGCAAGATAGGAAAATTTAATATGTATATACATTATGTTCTGGCAATTTCACTTCTGTCTATAATATTTTTAAAAGAGTTAAATAGAAAGAAGTCCATGCTACACAGGTAAGTGACAAAAGCAAGTTTCAAAGAATTGTATATACAGCATTATTCCATTTATTACTGAAAAATATTTTACAGCATATATTGATGCACAAGTAGATATGTTGGTGGAGGAGGATATCATGTGTGATTGTCTAGGCTTTAGAAGGGCGAGGATAGATACTTAGCAAATGCTTAATGATGGCAACCACTAGGGAGTCAGTTGGTGTCAAGGGGGTGGTGGGAGAAAACTTTTTACTTGATACACTTCTGTACTTTTTTTTTTAACAATGGAAATATATTACTTGTGTAATAAAAAGTTTTAAGACTAATTAATTACTAAGCATATCTATAAGAATTTAGTTTTGTTTACAAAACAGATTTATTACATCTTGAACAACATAATAGAATTTTTAATTGGTAAATTACTTGTGTGATAGGCAAGATTATGTTTTTCTACTTATTGTTTGTGCCCATATATTTTTTTTATGAGAAAACTTACATTTGAAATAAGTGAGTGTTGATTGCTTTTTTTTCTCCCAATCCCCCCTTAGGAATAAGAATCTTGATAATTTCCTCATGGCTTTATTGTACTATTTATCTCATTTCCTGGAAAAAAACTCACTGGAAAGAAAGCCCAAAAGCTATATGGTGTAAGTAAGATTTTGTGGCATGCTCTTGAGTTTTATCACTGCCAGGATTAAAACTAACTTTTGCCTACTTTGTTGGTTTTGTTTTTTTGTTTGTTTGTCTGAGACAGGGTCTCACTTTGTTACCCTGGGCGAGGGTGCAGGGATGTCATCACAGCTCACTGCAACCTCAACCTCCTCGGCTCAAGTGATCCCCCTGCTTCAGCCTCCCAAGTAGCTGGGAGACTAGAAGCATGCACCACCACGCTCAGTTAACTTTCCTATGTTTTGTAGAGAGACAGGTCTCCTTCAAAATTATTATTATTATTATTATTATTTTTTGCAGTTTTTGGCTGGGGCTGGGTTTGAACCCATCACCTCCAGCATGTAGGGCCGGTGCCCTACTCCTTTGAGCCACAGGCGCTGCCCCCTTGAAATTATGTTTAATAGTATATTTACTTAACTCAATGACTCAAAATATTATTATTGCAATATGAATGAGTAGTAGGAAGTTATTAGTGAGACTTCCTTAATTTTTCTTTTTCCTTTTTTTTAGTAAGTCTTTGGAATCTGGTATTTATTTTATGCTTATAACATATCTCAACTCAGACTAGCCATATTAAATGTTGAGTACCCATACATGGCTACCGTATGGAGCAGATATAGATACTGTTTGTCTGTTTCTAATGCTTACAATGTTCCTGCTAAAGGACTTGTATGCATCTAATTAAAAAAAACTAAAAATTAAAAAAAA